TTGGTGATAATTTGAGGTTGTCAGTAACATATATTATAGTCTTTGGTGAGTATACATGTCACAATTTTACCATTTGTATTTATAGGTTGTATTATAAAGGTATAGGTAAATTTCTTTTAGTAGAATATACAGGTGTATGTTTGATAATAAGCTTTGTATATTACTAAAGATCTATTACAAACATAAGTATCAACTATATTGTCACATAACACAAGTGGCAATGCTGGGTATAAAACTGTAGTAGAATATTATTCATTAATGATCAACCTATAACATAGATTGTGTTTAGTTTGAAATACCAGAATACCAGATCAACATTGCTTGTAAGTACATGTTTTCACCCTTACATTTTAAAGTTTGCTTTTATTTTTTTCTACAACAACTATGTACTGGATTATATCTGTGTTCTTGGTTTAATTGATATACATTTCTTTCTAATCAACTAGATGGTAAAGCTGATTAAGACAAAATATTTTTGTACCATCCAATCAGCTAAACAGTTTTCTTTGTTATCTCGCTTTGAATATGATAGTTTAAAACAAACTGTATACATATTCAGCCAATTCTTTTTGAAAATGAATGTAATATTATACGCTTGTGATTAATTTCTCAATAAAAAGTGAATTTTATGATTGGTGATCATGGAGCAATCTTGATTTATTTTTCTTGTGGCTAAAAAGCATTTGTCAGCAATAAGCACATTTTGATCAGCAATGGTTAAAAAATAGGATTTGATTACTTCTTTGAACTTGGTTGCTTTTGAGCATTTGTCTTAATCAATTTATGAGTTTGTTTTGCTTCATCATTTATAGAATAACGTTTTATGTCATTGGAAATCAATTTAATTAAGAAATTAATGAAGACCGTTGAAATTACGATAATAGTTTATTTGTCTCAAATCAGAATATTAAATAATGATAAATTCTGCAGGATTCTATTATAACGTGAATACATTGATCAGTTCATTTGTTAATAGCATAGCAACTAATTATAGTTTATGCTTCACGATCGGCAAAACACTTGACTTGTATTATCTTTGAAGTTATTTAAGGCATATAGATACCAGAAATAGGTTGTATTTTGTTTTACTTTGCACAACTAAACAACAGATTGTATATTGGGTTTTTTTCCAATGGAATTTTTTTCTGAATCAATCAAGAATCTGTTTTTGATGACGTAAGACAGACCGTTTATTTAAAAGATCTATGTGAGTCTTGCTGGCAAGTCGTACTGGTAATTGATCACATCTTCACGTTCGCTGTGCTGTTTGATGGACGGATGTTTCTATTTCTAACTAAACTCTGCTAAAATAGATCTTGGTATGTATCTTTCTTTAATATTAAGAACAGATGGACATTGTTCTCTCTCAAATAATTAATGAACAAATGATTTCTTGTAAATAAACAATGTGTGACTAATTTAATGTCGCGTCTGTTGCTTCAGTCTATCTTTGGGGTGTTGTTTCTCCATTTTCCAAATTGTAGGAGTAATAAGAAAATCGAACAGTAATAATTAATTAAACTAACTGACATATTGTTTTCCTGGATACCAAATTAAACAACTGCATTTACTTAATGTGATTTGATGGTGTGTTTTTGATTGTTTTCTTAAAAGAAATCAAATTAACCAGAAGAAAAGCTGAATCAAGTCATGATGATTAATGATCAAAATTTGTTTTGCATGACCTTCAGTATTATTGGAGTTTTGTTTTATGGTCATGTGTGACCTCTTCACAAAGAAAGAAACCAGGATTAGTCTCACTAGGACTGAACATTTTGAGTCATGTGTGATGCACCACTCGGTGTCTTACTCATCAATTGTACACAACCCTAGATTCAATGTATTTCATGCTCTTTGATATATCACTTAAAGTTATTGGCAATTAAGGCTCTTGGGCCTCTTGTATGGATGTGAAAATAGAACCAGATTGAACCGCTTGACAGTATCTGTATGGTTTGTCTTTTATCATATCTGATTACTTTATAGATTTAAGGTTAAATGTAATTAAATGGGGTGTAACATCTTACTTTTCTGAAAACATGACAATAAAGACAGACACAGACCATGTTGTCTGAGGGGAATTTTGTCCTGACAGTAGCACTTCAGCCTAAGATTATATCCATTTCCACTTGTTATAGGATCTTTAATGTGCTGCCAATGGTAAATATAGGACCTTTTTTGTACCATCCGAACAACTAGATGCTTTGCTTTTCTAGACTCAAAAGGAAACCCCAAGCTGAGGATCTTTCTCTGCCAACACATGGATTGAACCCAGGCCTTTATGGTTAGCGAGTCAGCACCATACTCGCCAAGCTACTGTAGATCATTTATAGCAAAAAAGCGTCACATAATTATTTTTGGTACAGAATATGTTTCAGAATTGTATTTTTTCAGTCTAGTCGTTTGGATTGGACGGAAAACCGAGGTCCCGTGTACATATTGGTGTGCACATAAAAGATCTCTTGATAGTTGGAATTTGGTATAAGAGTAGGCCGTAGTGCCGCTGTCTGGGCAAAATTTCCGTCATTGCACACTGTATGGCATATGCCCGTCTTCATTAGCCCAATTCGAGGCAGAACAGTAGAATGTTATACCCCATTTCATTTCATTATATTTTGTCGGGAGATTTCTTGCTGAGAATCAATTGTTTTTTTTATTAAATAATATTTTATTCAGAAATTGAAAGGAACTGAAGAACAGGCATACATGACCTCTCTCCTAAGAAGCAGTTATTTTAGAGTTAAAACCAGTAGCTATAGGGCTAATGTGAGGATTATTTTTTATTGTTTTAATTTGACAGTCTATTTCATAAAGCTGATCGTTGTTAGAAAAAAAGTAATTAGAGTTCCATTTATCATCCCATAAAAAAAATTACACCTGCTTGACATGTTGGAAAATTGATATAAATTGTTGCATTATTGAAATTAATGGTAATTTTATGGAAATATCAAAGAACTAGTGGACCAACATGTCTTAGTTTTATGCGGCGCTGAAAGTTTAACTGCATCAGTGAAAAAACATCAGGGTATCAAAGTAAAGAATGATAATAAATTACATGTCTCAAGGAGATTAGCCTTCAGCCAATCCACTTATAACATCAGTGATCCAGGCCTACTGTGTATTAAAGAACCATAATCTTATTGCCCACAACATTTTCTAGTAGGTCAAAGATGAGACATTTAAAGATTATTGTTTGAAGGGTAAAAGGGAGTAGGTTAATTGGTAAGAAGTTCATTCAGCTTCCAGATAGACCATTTTAAATCTTTATGTCTTTCCCCATAATCTCTTTGCTATGATACATTAACTTCATTTTCTTTTCAAGATAAATTTTCCAGCGTGAATCTGTTAGACTCGGAAGTCACAGAGTTCATCCTCTCTTAATTAGTTGTGGTTGTATAACATGATTGGAAATATATTTCTATACTACATCATTTTATGCTTTAAAGGACTAGAGGTGGTTGGGGTGGTGGGGTAGGGGAGTGTGTGGTGGGGCCTCACCAATTTGAATTTTTCTTCTCCTTATAGGAACCCAGATTTAAAATTTTGCTTTTGCCTCCAAATTCTTTGAGAAAAAACTTATTTAAACACAAATAGTTCTTGACTGCACTTCTCAAAAGATTTAATTTCAGATTTTTAAACAGCCATTTGGGGTGTTATTCTATTATGATGAGTGGGAGCGTGAAGGGGGTAGGGTAGGTGTGCATATGATGAATCCACTTTCTGATCTCCCCAGTAAGGTAAACAATTTGATTGATGATTTTTTATTTGATTTGCATGATGACAAATATTATCAGTTTTTGTGGGGGATATCAGTCAATAATTGTTGTCTTTGTAGACTTTTTAAAATAGCGCAAATAAAGGATGAATATTGAAATAAGTGAAATGTTGTAATCTGGTTATTATAGAACTAATAATATTGACAAGTACAGCTGTCTAATCTATTAATCTATTATCTTATTAATAGACTATGATCAACCATCGCAATATTTATGTTGTCTTTGTGTGGGATCAAATCATAGGTCGACAAAAGGACTGCTGCTTTTAGTGTAAAAGTTCAGTGCAAAAAGGATAAGACTTTTATATGTGTATTTGAAATTATATTATGTATATTAGGTTTGTATAAAAGTGCAGACTTGTTATTGTGTTACTTTGGGGGAGGGTGGTGGGGGGGTAAATGGTGTAGCATGTGCACATTGAGTCAAGTGGCATGGTTTCAATTCCCCACTTGTACAAGACAAAGAGTAGGGTCGTCTGTCCAACCTTGTGGGTTTTCTCCAGGTACTCCGGTTTCCTCCCACTGCAAAAGACCTGTATGCGCAGACGAATTATTGAAATAGAATTAAACCATATGTTAGTTTGTGCCGAGTGGATGTTAAACCCCATTTTTCTCTCTCTCTATATTATGTTACTTTGGCAAACAAAAATGGCTACTCATCCTGTGTATACAATGACAGAATCTTAAAGAACCCACAAGAGTTAAAAATTGAAATAAGAGTTGGTCATAACACTTCTGTCTGAGCAAAATTTCTCTCATAGCATACTGAATTCGCTAAGACGGGGCAGAAACGTAAGATGTCAATCAAACACAAAATCGGTTAAATCTCAAGACTGAGTTTATCAATAAACTAATCAGCATAGAATCCAGTAAAATCTACAATTTTATTTGCACCTCAAATAAAGAAAGTAGGCCTACAGTCATTTTAAGAAAACGTAAGTGTGCAATATCAATTTTGGGATAGTTAAGATTGAAGGAGTGGTGTATCCAACACAAATAATGGTAAACATGTTCAAGGTTATTCAGGATTGTGATACTTTTATGTACAATGTATATGTATAAGGCTGGTAAGTACAATATCTATATTGTTGATATACCACAGTTTATCAAAAGAACACATTTGTTTAGCAATAATATATATCCTGGATCATTCAGGTGAGAGTAGATTAAGGTTGCTATATGTTAGTCTAATATATTTGAACTGTACAATCAGATAGATAGAATGGCAGAATCAATATGACTCCTTTTTTTATACAACCACTGGTGTAATGGGATAGTTACTACTGGTGGTTGTACGGTTCTTAATGTATTACTATCATCAGCCCACATAAAAACTAGAAAATTCTTTGAGAGGAAGGAATACACATACCGGTAGTAATCATATATACTGAGAGTGTTGGTGAGCATTTATAAAATTGATGTGTGAGCTCGTGAACACAAAGACCAGGACAATTTTAATTGATCGATCATATTGGACACGTCCATTTTCTTGGCGTGAGTATTGAGAGGGTATCAGAGAAAAGTAGGAGTAATTGGGTTAGATGTGGTTTCAAGTGTTGACTTGGTATTACAGAAACTATTATAGATTGGCAGCGAAGGTTGACTAGAAATTGTGTTTTCTGTATATAGACACACATTATAGACTTGATTCTATATTGAAATTTAATTCATTGAGTTGAACTGTAGTTGAAATGAAGAGTGGATGTAAAAGCGAAAACGTAAGTCTATTGTAATAGTCAAAATACTATGACATTATAACCCTTGGACTATTTTTTAATTTTTAATTAATGACGAATAAAGCTTTATGATCGGATGGAAGTGGTGATAAGTGCACACACATACAAATTTTAATTTCTTGAAGATCGTTTTTGCTCTAGTTGCACGGTGTGATAGTAGGTGGGGTAGGTGGTCTAGTGATCCAACAAGGGCACTTTATATCATAAGGTCTGTCATGGAGTGGGCGCCACCGTGGTAAAGTGTGTAAGATGCTGGCTCGCTAGCCTGGAGGTTGCGGGTTCGCTTCCGGTATTGGCCGAGAAAGTTCATGAGAATTTTGTGGCTTGGTTTCCCCTTGTTGCAGGACAAAGGAGCTGAGAAGGACAGCTGTCTAGTCTTTGAGATGGGATGAAAAACCAAGATCCTGTGTACACATGGTGTGCACGTAAAAGATCCCTTGGCAGTTGGAATTCGATATAACAGTAGACTGTAGCGCTGTCCAGGCACAATTTCCCTCATAACACACTGTACAGCGTATGCCCGTCTTCATTAGCCCAGTCTGAGCAGAACACTGCAGACGTGTCAACCCCCAGGTATGAAAAAAACAGGAGACCGGATATGAAAAAACAGGAGAATCCAGATTTTATTTTTCATCCAATAACTTCATTTTTATTAATCATAGGCTAATACTTTAGTACTTTTTACACTGTGCACTCGTTTTTGCTGCATACAAGAATAAACAAATGAAAATTCCTTTTGGGTTTCGGGTCAATAATTTAAAAGACAGGAAAACATTTTTTTTTAAATATTTTGTGAAAATATAGATAAAATGTTACCCAAAAGACTTTAATATGGTAGTCCAAAATGTGTTTTCAGTCATATCATAATAAATAAGAATCGGTCGTACAAATTTTACAACTCAAATCCGCGAATAATAGCCAGTTAAAACTTATGAAAATCGTAATAATTTGAAAGATAATATATAAAATATTTATAATCTTGATAATATCAGATAAAAAGCAGGCTACATTTAGTCGAAAGTAGCCAATTTCAATCTGCAAAACCGATAAATCCCGTTTTCTATGGCTGCAATCGCGTGAATGGAAATCCCCGGAAACGTGACGTCAGAGCGGTATTTTCCCGCTAGTGTCTCCCGTACATAAATGGTAGTTGCGCTTATATTTCGATAACTTTTGAGTCAGATTATTTGCATATATTGTGATTGATATCAAAGTATTATAATACAATCGCTAGTAATATATTTAACTGGAAATGTAATCCAAAATCGCAGATTAAAAGTCGGCTAAATTTCAGTCAATGGCTTCCGATTTCCCGCTAAAGTCACGTGGCATGAAATGTTTACTCTTTGCCGGAGAATTGTCAAAATCGCATAGACAGGCGTTTACTAGCCATGGGGTAGAATGATGATTAGGGAAAGAACCTTGTACAGGTCTCTATTTTATTTGGTACGCTCATGTACTCTGATATCATTTACTTTATTTACTCCAAACAATACTAATCACAAACACACGTTGGGCTGTCAAGCGTACGTATTACCGGAATTATAAGTTTCCGGTCAAATTCAGCCAATCATGAGGTCGATTTATGAAACGGAAGTAAGGGAGTTACCTCCCTTTGAAAAAGTAAAACTAGAATCGGCAAAATGGCCATTTTCCGTGAGAAAATTCCTCCCGCACAGGAGATCGGGAGAAAGGTCCCGAATCCGTGAGTCTCACGGAAAAAACAGGTTAGTTGACACGTCTGTGAACAGTAGGATGTTAAACCCCATTTCATTTCATTTCTGTCATGGAACAGATCGATGCTTCAAATTTTTTAAGCCTTGCCATCACTTCTCAGTGTTTGCACCTGTAGGACTGACAAGTGAAGTGTGTCTAGTTGTTTAGATAGGATGCACCTGGGAGAACCCTTGATAGTGGGAAATCGAAGAAGAATAGGCTGAAACACTGTAGTTGTCTGAGAAAAATTCTTCCATCACCTCGCCTTACAGAGAAATAAAACTTAATCATAATATGTTGGTCTCAAAAATTCTGTCACAGATTTTAATTTGAATTTAACTGAATTTGACTTAGTATGGCCTGCAGCATTTTATAAACCAAAATATTACAAATAGAAAATTTCAACCTCCCTCCCCTTAAAAAACCCTATATTTTTATAGACTATTTTTTAGACCTTGATACAATATGTATCCGGTGATAAGCTAAGTATCGTGATTTTATTATCATATTTTTATCTGGACTACTGCCACTCTAAATGATAAACTGCAAAACTAAATATGAAAATATTTTTTTTGTCTGGACTACCATCACTCTAAATGATTTACTGCAAAACTAAATATGCAAATATTTTTTTTTTACTGGTATAAAGGGAGAGGACAGGTACTCTAAATGATTAACTGCAAAACAACATATGCAAATATTTTTTTTGTCTGGACTACCACCACTCTAAATGAAAAACTGCAAAACTAAATACACAAATATTTTTTTGAACTGGTATAAAGAGATAGGACAAAACATGAAATTTATGATCTCCTATATGATATTAAATTATACGTCGGTAAATAAAACCTAAATAATGGTGAAATGACTGACAATAACATTGTATCAATATTACTCTCCACGTTTCTAAAGTAAACCTCATATTAAAGAGTTGAATTACACAAAGTAAACAATATAAAAATCGTGTTGGTATGTTATTATAGATAAAATGTGTGGGTTATCGTAAATGATTGTATCACTAATTAAAAACAATGTGGGAATCCATTTATAAAAGGTGTGATGGTAACAATGGCATGATGATTAAAACGTCAAAAGAAGAGGTGTTTAAATATTCTCTAGAGATCATCTATCTAGCTACATCAATCAAATCTTATTATTAATCCAAGTGCTTATTTTTTTTTCATGGAATTAATATTAATCTTACCATTAGAAATACCCAGGGAGAACAAAATGATGATATTTTATTTTTTGGATTCTGAAATGTCTGTCAGTAGTTGTAATGATAAATTTCATTTGTGCTTGTAAACTGATTGTAATGTGTAAAAAAATCATGATTGCACCACATATACAATCTCGATTCATATGTGAAAAATTTGTGATGAATTTAAATTGAGTTTTAGATGCTTTTCAGAACTTCAGAGCTTGAGAGAGAGAAATGGTGTTTAACGTCCACTCAAGAAAAAATAGGACTAACATATGGTTCAATTTTATTTCAATAATTCGCCAGCGCGTACCTTGTCACATACAAGTGGGGAATCAAAGCCACATCACTTGACTCAATGACAGACCTTATCAAACATGCACGGGTTAACCATTCGGCCACCCAACCCTCCTTCACAGCTTATACCTACATTAAATTTGGTTCGCTAAAGTTTAAATCTTTTGACTTTAAAAGTACTGTTTGTTGTATTTGACCTAAAACAATTGTATGTTTATGATATGAAAATGATTTTATATGCCCACATGGTAATGTGGTCGTATATTGTCATCGGTCTGTCGTCTGATTTCAAATTCCATCTGTCAAGGGGTTCTTTTACATGCACACCAATGATTTCACCTTGGTTTTTTTGTCCCATCCAAATGACAAGACAAGAACATAGTTGTATAATTATTTATACCAGTATAGGCTATATTGTCGTATGTCTACATATCTGGTTGGCATATTTGTATGGGGAAGCTGAGGTAATTAATGAACAAAATAACATGTTTGGGGTTTTGGAGGGTATTTTATTACAAGGAAATACTTAAGATGATGAAAATGATCGTCTTCAATAATAATTTAAGTAACTATTAAATTTGGTCTGGCCTTCTGGATATCTAATATATCGTTCACACATGCATGGAGTATAAAAAGAATGTTTTCAAAATTCTCACTGAAATTACCCCTTTAAATATGAAGTCTTTGATTGTTATATATCTTGATTTAGCAATAAATTTTCGATGTTTAATAAATATCTTGATTTTGCATGCTACTTTCAGTAAAGTTTAAAAGATGGGTATCAGTTTATCTGTTAATTCTATTTCTTGCAAATACAATCGCAAATTAGATAGCATCCTAAATATAACTGTATAATAATGTAATAATTGGATAAAAATTGTGTAGTTTTTGTAGTATGAAACGTGTCTGTTCGCCTACACCTAATCTTTTGACATTTAACAAGTAACGATGATGATCTTGACGTCTTAATTACCTGAAAATAATCCACACTTTTATATAATTCGTACTTTGAAGGACAGTTCATCTACGTAATGTTATTTTCGATCCAGGAAATCGTGAATATATATCTGCGTTCAAAATCATCAAACAATCTTAAACATGCATGATGTAGATTTCTATATTGATGATTAATATTTTGTCGCAAGACGAATATTTATAATTTAGAAATTTTTTAATACATTGTATTTAATGACATGCGTCACAGCACACGATTTAAAGATTAAAGTCTATTCTTATTCAAGTGATGATAAGACAGGTTATTTTAAACGTTGAACAAGACAATTTTTGTAACGTGTCTGTATTTATATTTATAGTTTAATTAGAAATGATAAAGCACTATATATAATTAATTTTTTGAAGATGTTTTTATTGGTTTCATATGGTGCGTCATACATGGCTCACAAAATTGGCTAATTATTTCGCCTTTGGTAAGTGATCGTCTTGATTACCACCAAGTCACTTATGCATTTGGATAAAAGAATTCCTAAAATGTGAGTAACTAAACCTGGTTAACTAAATCAAGCAAACAGCTCACTAAGATTGACTTTAATGTATGATCTTTTCATTCACAATTTAATTAAAACACAGATCCTATTTCGTTTCATTTTTTATAGTTCAAAATTTTGTATTTCTTGTCTTTACTACATTAGGGTTTTGAAGGGTTGTTATATAACCCACGTGCCAATGAAACAGTCTGTGTGTAATATACCTGAAGATGCACTTACACTAAAACTTGAAAATACTATGTTATAATAGGAATGAAGTGAGA